ATCTAACAGTATAAAAATTCAAAATGGCGAAATATATTTCACCACTTCTCGGGAGTGATTTTAAAAAAAATCTTTCACAATTCGTTAACAACCAAACAGTTATTATTTACGTCAACAAAACTCACTTTTTTAACAGTACTTAAGTGCCGTACATAAAGAGCCATTACTACCGCTTTCCCGTTCACAATATTCTAATAAAGTTGCGATTTTTTTACGGCTATTAAGTTGTCTTGTACACTTCGCACTAAAAGAGGTTCTAAAAAGAACAATGTTTTCGACTGCAAGGTCTGCTAGTAAACATTTTTAAGCTTAAAGTATCACAACACTATTTTTTTAAACCAAAATCTCCTAATACTAAACTAAAGTGTCAAAACGAATGAAAATCTGAGGAAAAAAATATAGATATATATAATGCTGCATAAGAACACAAACACTTGACTGTTGTTGTGTGAAATCTAGAAGGCTTAGAAATTTTCTGAAAACGGCATTTAATTGGACGAGATCAAAAATATACTATACTATCTATACCAACTTACGTTGCAATAGATACAATAGTTCTGAAGATATTGTCATTTAAAATAAACGGATTATTTTCATTTTTTTGGCATAAATCCGAAACTAATCAACATACCAGGATTTTCTTCATATAGGTGTTTGTCAAACTTCTAATTACACAACTTTGTATCTCTTGTAGTTTCTGAGATGCCAATGTTGAGCATCGAAATTGTCACCACCCTGTATAACTAAATACTACTAACTTAAAATCAAGATTTTGAAAACTTAAATTTAAAAATAGGTATACACAGTTTTTAGATTTCCAGCGAAAATTGACAGTAAAAAAGTTGAAGAATGGCAATGGTAGGTACAGCTGGTTCCAAAAAAATGAATACGACTCTTTACACATTTTTTCGAATATTTGAGCAGTGTATATTTATGTGTCAAGTATTTTGACATGTTAAGGTTATAGTGACATTGAATAGAACAACTTTGCTTTTGACAAAGTGGCAAATAAATTTTCCAGAATGTCAGCATGACATGAGTAGAGAAATGGGAGACTGGTGTCATAGAATATACTGCCCGAAATAATAAAAATATGTTTTAAATCGTATTCAATTTTATTGGAACCAGTTGTACTTTTGTATGGCTCAACAAATGTCTTAAATTTCTGAAATTTTTGCAATTTTTTTTCTATTTCCAGATTTTTTTGGTTGGAGATAATTCTTTTCAGTTGAAATAGAAACAAATGTCGTCTTAGATTATGATTCCAGTGAATTTTACATTGGAAAATATATCATTTCAAAATAAAGAAATTTTAATTTTAGTGCTCCTTTTTTTACGCTTTCAAAAGATTACAGTTGGCAACGCCTAAAGAAATGTAATCACCATTTTTACAGACAAAATGGTGAAGGACATTTTAATGTGTATTTATACCATAACAGTCTGAATTTATTTTATATATTTTGCATTTAAACATTTATGATTTGTTTTATAACGATGCTTTTTGTGGCCATAGCATTAGCTAGTAATCAAAATATATAATTTAATTATATATTTTGACTATTATTCATAATTTAAGAATTATAATGTTTGGAGCTATGTATACTTGGTCTATACTATTAATGAAAAAAACTATCAATATAATAATTAATCACATAATATAATACTCGTATACGCTATATAAATATTGCAAATTTAACTTGTTCTATATTTTTTTAAGAATACTTTAACAAATTTATATAGATTTATAAAATTTAATAGAAAGCAAATAATTATTATTATTTATTAACGAAATCCAGCAAAATACGGAATTAATTAAATCACCATCATTATTAACATATTACATGATAGGATATAATTATTAACTAACCCTATATTCAAATAAAATATTAACACATACATGTAATGAATACGTATTCAAATATTAATACCATCAAAATTCAATACTGATTAATTATTAATAATATAATTACACCCGTTTTATACATGTTAAAGATATTGTTAATATAGGCATTGTTAATGTAGTTTTGCCTAATGCTGATTATGATTAAAATGATGCTTTGTGCTTATTGGCTTAATTTTTAAATTGTCCATATTATTAATATGTTTTTTACTAATAAAAATATATCATTTAACTGTATTTCTTTTTTATTAAATATATTTAATCAGTTTTCATAATATTACACATTTTTTCTTAACATTACTGCCGCATTAAATCCTTGGAAAATGTAGGTTGTAGGAGTCATACAAAATAAATATATTAAAGGAATATGATAAACTGTATACCTATATTAACTATCATGGAAAATGGATAACTAAGGGTAGTTAACAAGACAGACAGAAGCATTTCTTAAAAAAAATCTGGGTTTTTTACAGGTCACAAGAAAAAAACCCTACAAAATAATAAAAATGTTTTTCTAAATACCACGTGTTGAATCGAAATCAATGTTAAAATTGTTAAACCAAATCAATTAAAATGTTAAATCAAATTAAAATGTTAAATCCAACTAGTAAAGCAAATTTGCCTAACCGACAAAAAATCCTCCCTTGGTCAGAAACCAAAAACTACAAAGAAAAAAGAAAAAGTTATTTAAAATATTTAAATACAACTATTCAAGAACACAGTGGCGTAACAACAGACTCACGGGCCTGTGTGCAAAAATTTTACCGGGTTATTTCAATACTAATAATATACTAATCTGAACAATATGCACTCATATTTTAGGTTAGAAATAACATTATCAAATTAATTTTTATATAGTATTATTTATTACTGCAACACAGAATATATGTGTAACAGTCAAATTTCCTCGCTACAACCTCTGTGTGCTAGAATTTTATTGTCATATATTGTTTTATTTTTGCGGTCCGGGCCCCCCGAGGGCACGGGCCCGTGTGCTTCGCACATACGGCACATCGATAGTTACGCCACTGCAAGAACACTTTAGTTCACCCCGTACTAAGAATAAACCAACCAAACCAAAAAATTCTTTAATTTACTTGACGAAATGGTGAATGAAAATTTTACTGATGTAATTCTTTAACATAATAAAACTCATCGCACATAATCTTTTTTTATGCAAACCCAGGATTGGACTGACCATATACAGGGTTGTTCACCACATACGACACGGAGTATTGTAGCTAAACGATGAGATTTTTACAAATTTTAAGTCTTGGGTTCGATGAAGGACTATTAGAGGTACAATTTAAAAATAATTTTACAAGATACAGAGTGTCCCAAATAAGTAAAAAATATCAAAGTTGTATTTTTTTAAATGGAACACCCTGTATATTATTGCCTTTTTAGTTTCTACGATTAAAATAAAGGTAAATTTGATTAAGGTTTATTATACTTAAACCTTACCGTTTTTGAAATATTTTCAATTTTGTGAAATTGTAGTAAAATTTTTAAGGCTTCATTTCTCCAAGGGTACCAAAGTTTTTAATACTAAATATTTACTGAAGTTTATTTATTGATCAGTTATTGTGTTGCAATAATAAAAATAATACTACCTTATACAGAGTGTCTAAAAATTTATTTTAAATAATTATTACCTTCAAACGGCAATAACGTGTTTAAGTTAAATGGAACACCCTATATATTTTACGAGAATCAGATGCACAATTTAATTGTCTATCAAATTATATTATACCATTTTTTACCTACCTCTTTAAGTTTCCGTAGAAAATGCATTTTCTTGTAATTTAGATTTTATTTATCAATATACCCATGGAATATTGACATTTTAGATTATTTTTAAAGATGTACCAAATTTTTAAAGAGTACAGATACTAATATTTTGGATATAATTCGTTTATTTCATTAAAAAATAAAAAAAACTGTTTAAATATTTGTTAAAGAGGGCCAATTAATATGATTCCAGTATTCAAACTGCATTAACTGACTGCATTGATTAATAATAATTGTTCCAAATACTAAAAAAACTGAATTTTGTATGGGTATTAGACAGTGTGATAAAAAGTAACACCTTAAAAATGATATTTCATTTTTTAATAAATGCTTATTTATAACAATAGAGACTTTAATTTTGATAACTTATTATTATATTGATTTCTGACTCAAATCCACATTTATTTAGAATAATTTATTAACGAATACAATTAAGTATGTAATTAATTAGTATATGGGCGGAAATAATGGTGCTATATTTAATTAATGGTATACTCTTTTATAAAGATTTAAATAGTTTTCTTTTTGCATACAACATTATTGTTTTTAGCAAAACGATAATATTACTAGAATGTCAATATATGATGTCAATATTCCATAGGTGTCAATAATAAAATGTCAATATTCCATGGGTATATTGATGAATGAGGTCTAAATTATAAGAAAATGCATTTTCTATGAAAACTTGAAGGGATAGGTAAAAATGGTATAATACAATTTGATAGACAATTAAATTGTGCATCTGATTCTCCTAAAATATACAGTGCGTTCCATTTAAATTAAACAAGTTATTGCCGTTTGAAGCTAATAATTATTTAAAATAAATTTTTAGACACTCTGTATAAGGTAGTATTATTTTTATTATTGCAAGACAATAACTGATCAATAAATAAACTTCAATAAATATTTAGTATTAAAAACTTTGATACCCTTGGAGAAATGAAGCCTTAAAATTTTTACTGCAATTTCACAAAATTGAAAATATTTCAAAAACGGTAAGGTTTAAGTGTAATAAACCTTAATCAAATTTACAGTGGGCGAAATACCCATACAGGATTTTTTTTGGAAATATTCAGATTGTACTCTTGTACTACACTATACTTTTTTTGACACAACTTACTTACAACTCTCCTTAAATGTTATACTTTATTTTTCATATGGTTCGATTTTTTTTTGAATTTATAGTTATTGTATTTGAGCAGCTTGTTATCACTAGCATTTGTTTATATAATTTTATTGTTATTTTTAATAATTATTGTATCATACTCTATAGTCATTATTAAAAATTACACGCAATAAATAAAACAAATTAAGAAAAGTGTATTTATTATTCGACGTCTGTATAAATTTGCAATAAATATGGTAGTTTTCTTGTCTTCATTGGATTCTTGTAGATTTCATTGGGGCTCGCGTTATAAAGTCATCTTCATTTTCCACTAGAAAAAAACATAAGCATTTTAGTGTTCAGTTTAAAGTGTTTAATATTAAATACAAATAATAATACTAATTTTACAGAATTAGTATACATTTTATATAAAATTATTGAAATCAAAATCTTAAAAACTTACTATGAACCCGAACTAGATGATGAGCTTGCTGAAGCTTGGGCAAAACTATTACTACTGCTACCACCTCCAAAACCACCAGGGCTGCCTCCAAAACCTCCTGTAAATATAAACAAACATTCATAAACATGTCACATTATATACACGATGTCTGGTTAAGCTTATATTAGAAGTTAAAAAAATATTTTCTGTTTTGCAAAACATTTAAGCACTTAATGTTGATATATTTCGGCAGCTTTGACGTCTACGCTATATGACATTTCTTTAACCAAAACACTATTAAAATATTATTATTATACTAAAATAGATTAATTCTAATTAAAGTGTTTCATATTAGAGTTAATTTTATACGAAATTTAAATGTAAAAGAATAAAAAATGCAGTGTTTTTTTTAGATTAAGTATAATAATTGATCCTCTTAAAGAGTTTGCGACCATAATGGAACCAATATAGTTAGTTAAAATAACATATGCAAGCTGAGCTAGGGACATCCTGTAATACATTAATTTATATGTTATTATATTAAAGTATGTTAAATATTTTCAATTTCAGTCTATACAGTATATCCCCGGATTGTTTTTACAAGAGGAATTTTTTTGAAAAATGTATCCTTCATATAAATTTTTGCTTGTTTTAAAATGGTTAATATTTTTCCAAATGTCAATACCATTTTAGAGAAAATAAAAAAACGTGAAAATATAGTTACTATAAATCAAAATGCGTTTCTATGGTAATATAATTTCGTTTTCATTCTTTGATAGGTTATTATTGAAATAATTTTAATTAACGTCATATTTTTTGCAGTTTTAAAATGTTAAAGAAGCAAAAAATTGTACAACAGCAAAAAATATGACGTTAATCAAAATTATTAATAACTATCTATCAAAGAATGAAATCGAAATTTTATTACAATAGAAACGCTTTTTGATTTTTAGCACTTGGCATTTTTAGCCAGAGAAATTCAATCATATTTTCATGTTTTTTTTTTCTCTAATACGTTATTAACATTTGGAAAAGTATAAACGGGTATAACCATTTTAGAACAAACCAAAATTTTTTATGAAGAAAGCATTTTTCTCAAAATGTCAATAATAAAAAAGTTTTTCCTTTTGCAAAAATCTAAGGACATACTGTATATAAAATATGCTCAACGAAAAATAATATATGTAGACCAAAAGATGGACTTTTTCTTGAATTAAATTAAAATGACTTTACAACATATAAGAAATGTTTTACCTCCGTGACCTCCTAATTGTCCGAATCCACCTCCGCCTCCGTGACCACCGCCACCTCCAAAACCACCGCCTCCTGGAACGTAACCTCCTATTTGCGGTCCAAAACCTCCTTTTCCTCCTCCGAAACCTCCACCATTACCACCTCCAAATCCACCTGTAAAAATTAATAAATAATTACAAATATTTCATAATTATTTTAATATTACTTTAATTAATTAATAATACTAATGAGTAACAAGTACAATAAATGAAAATTAAAATACTAAACCGATGTTTAACTTTTACGTATGAAAAATAATACTCACTTCCACCTCCAAAACCTCCACCTCCGCCTCCACCACCACCTCCGCCACCTCCACTGCCTCCTCCAAATCCGCTTCCAAAACCACCTCCACTTCCTAAATTACCCCCTCCATAACTTCCCGGGGAGCGCCTGTGCCTTGATTGAAATAAAATTTTCTGTAATATGAAAAAACATTAATTTTAATAAACTAACTAGCAGACCCGGTCACGCGTTGCTGTTGCTAAGGTTAAGTACCCGGTATATTAAAATTTGGGTAAATACCCAAGTTTTTGCACCCGGTATTTACCCAAAGGGTCAATAAATGGTATATTGAATTTCGATAAATACCATTATACCTGGTATATACCGAATCATAATGACGTTTTTAATTAAAGGTATTCTAATAATTTTTAAAAACAATTTATTGTTAAATTAAAATTATTAAATTACTAATATCGCTATTAAAAAATAGGGGTTGATGTTAGAAGGGTGAAAATTTAGGGTTTTATGTATTTTTAATACCACATCACAAAAAAAATTGTTTAAAAATTAAAAACAAGATTGGGATCACTTAAAGGCATAAAAAATAGATAACAACCTATTCTCAGACTTACTGAATATATATACAGGGTGGGCCACTGAAAACTTCCAATGGCTATAATTTTTAAACCAAAAAAGATATAAAAAAATAAAAATTACCGTTTCTATAATATCGAGGGGGAATACATATGACGTATTTTTTGAACCACCCTGACCTACCCTTTAGGCGGCACCCCTACTCACTTGAAAATCTTAAACGGCAACACCCCATTTGTGGCGCCTTTTTGGAAAGCCCATGAAAAATTCTAAACGACGATCATAAAGTTTTTAGGGTGAAATTGAAAAACTACCCCTTACACGAAAAATTAAGTGGACATTAATGAAAAAGGTGATTTTTTCAGTATAAGTTACCAATTGGAACCCAGCTAAATGACGCAAATGAAGTATTTTTCAAACCACCCCAGCCCACCCCTAGGTGCCACCCCCTCACTTCTAATCTCAAGATAGCGATACCTCACTTGTGACACTTCTTTGGAAAGCTAATTGAAATTGCTAAACGATGGTCATACAGACTTCAACTTAATTACTGGTTAGTGACAAGAAATGTAGGTGTGACAATTTGAAAGAAATTTAAAATGATAATTTATTTTAACAATTGCTCAAAATGACAGCCGTTTTGTTCCATACAAAAATACAAACGATTTTCAAATTCTTCTCGCACTTTTTGGAAAGTCTCTCTCGGAATATTTCGACATACATCAGTTCTCCTCTGCCGCAATTCTTGCAACGAACCTGGTTTTGTCTTGTAGACTATGGATTTAGTGTAACCTCACAAGAAAAAGTCTAAAAGAGTGAGATCAGGTGACCTTGGCGGCCACTCGATTGGACGCCTTCTGACAAATCCATTGCCTTGGATAATGTTTATCCAACCACCGCCTTGTGACAATAGAATAATGCGGAGGGGCTCCATCTTGCTGAAGGTGTATGAGGTCTTCATTAAGAGTTAGAATAATTTTTTTTGTACCAGTTTTTTTTTCGCAATGGTACATGAATACAAAAATAATTCATTCTATATTTTGACATTTTTTTTATTTTTATCTCCATTTTTTTCGTTCTTTTTTCTGGCAGTCGTTCAGCATTTCTTATACGCTTTCCAAAAAGGTATCACAAGTGGGGTATCGCTATCTTGAAGTTAGAAGTGAATGGGTGGCACCTAGGGGTGGGTTGGGGTGGTTTGAAAATTACCTCATTTAGCTGGGTCCCAATTTGTAACTTATGCTGAAAAAATCACTTTTTTCATTAATGTCCACCTAATTTTTCGTGTAAGGGGTAGTTTTTCAATTACACCCTAAAAACTTTATGATCAAGGTTTAGCATTTTTCATTGGCCTTGGGTTGATGGTAGAAGGGTAAAAGTTTGGGGTTGTATATCTTTTTTAATGCCACCTCACAAAAAAATCAAAATATAAAATTTTAACCAAAAAGTAAAAAAATGGGGTTGACCACCCTTATCACTTAGGGTTATAACAAAAAGATAACAACCTATTCTCAAACCTACTGAATATACAATTTATCAAAATATCAAGATAAATATCAAATATATTTATCAAAAATAAAATTTTATCAAAATCGGTTAAGCCGTTTCGGAGTACAGTTACAAAAATTGTGACCCGAGAATTTTATATATTAGATATTAGGCTTGTATTAATTTATTAAAAAATATTTTGATCGGGTTCAATCCCAAGTTGCTTTATTTAATTAAACGGTATATATACAAGGGAAATGTTGAAGACGCTTCTCAGTATTTTCGATGTTTTGAACAATATTTATAGCTGCCAAATCGTAAATTATCAATTACTTATTGAGGAATTTATAGAAGAAGAAGTAGTTTTCACTAAAGTGCAAGAGAACGCACAAAATCACAGTTTTCTCTATTTTTACTGAGAGTTCGACAAACAAAACGATCGTTTGGTAGCCGTTTTCGAATCGCTTAGCGCAATCAATAAAGACGCTAGACGCGCTACATCAGAATACCCAAATCGGTAGTTAAGTAAGCGCTAAGCGAATATTAACGTCATATACGCTGAGCGCAGAGATATGGAAGTGGGAGAATGAGCTTCGACGAGTGCGCATCCAAATTTTTGTTGACGGCAAGATGGCAGACATCTTCCAGGTCTCGCTGTCACTTCCCCTCTTTAATTGACATCTGTTTGTTTTGTTTTTTTTTTCGTTTGTGTTGTTATCTAGTTAAAATTTATTATTATCTCAATTATTCTAAACACTAATTCAAAAAGGCTTGTTGTATATTGTCATAGTCATTCTAAGAAAGCTAATACGCCAGGAAAAATGATTAGTTTTCATGTAGTTTATACAACATAATCGTGTTTACAGATGATCCAAAACTGTTTATTTTTAGTTTACCTAAAGGCGATTTGTAAAAATCGTGATTGTAATTGGGAATGGTCAAAAATAAGTGTATGATGTGGCCATTTAAAGAGGATGTTTTTATTACGTGTGGAGGAAGAAGATACTTGGAATCAATGTTCATGCTTCTGTAAAACAGTGCACTCTTATAGTGTCCATGAAAGCACAAGTTCAAGTGTACCAGAAATATGTCAAATAAGATTGGTCCTTACTTGACAAGAAGATTATTTGGAGGAAAAGAAAACATAAGATAGGGTATTTTAATCGAACAGCGAAAATTTAACATTTATATTGTAAAGTTGGTTGTAGGTAGTTGTAGTTTTGTGCTAAATATTTCTAACGTTAGCAGCAGCAGTTTTCAGAGTGTCAAGAGGAGGAGAATTCAGTTAATTAGATTTATGCACAGTTACAGGTATGAAGGCTTTTTCAAACATAGTATCGAGTTCTATAGTCAACATTTTTAGTATTCCTACAACTGTAAAAACAAGGAACATTGGACTGAAAAAATGGCAAGATTTATATAGGAAGAAAGGGTATTATGCCAATAAGAAAATTAAATCTGTAGGCAGAAGTTTCTTATTTAAAAACTGTTATGGGGCATATATTAATTTGTATCTGTGCCACAAATCACTGAGAATAATCATATAATATTCATAATTGTTAACGAGATGATATTTAAAGAGTGTTAAAAATGAGACTATTAGTCATGAAGCTTAGAATGTTACTTTGTTTCAATATTACACTTTTATTCTTGTAAAATCTATGATGAAGTTCAAAAGCATTTTGCAATGGCCTTAAATTGTGAGCCAGGATTTATAGCAAAAGTATTTGATGTAATGAAACTTAATCAGTACCTTCCAGTATGTATTTTAGTAAGGGGATTGTCAATCCCATGTTTTTAAATAGATAAAATACAGGCCAAAGTTGACAATATTACAGTTGAGAAGAAACTATTTTATCTTAATTTTTTTTTTAAATTCTGAGATCATATAATCTAATTTTCTTAATAATAAATTAGGTATATGTATGTTGTACATACAGAATTTTGTTACGGACAAATAAGGATCGACAAGCTTCTTTTGTGCAAAAAATAAATGATTTTTTCTAGTATTAAGACAAACGATAATGTGTTTTACAAACTTACCGGTAACAGTTTTTTTTATAATAAAATATTTAGGAATAATTTGGGTTGTTTATCAATATATTAATGACTTGAATTTTGACTAATTGAATTTGTATCAAAATAATTTTACGAAATATAAAATTCATGTTCTATTACAAGATTGAGTTTTTATTGTCGACAAAAACCAGGAGATAAATACTAATAATAATACCCTTAATAAAAGCAATGATGTTTATGTATTATGAAAATATTTGTTAGAGGACAAGTTATGTAACAGTCTTTGTAACACAATTTGAAGGGACGAATAAAAAAAAAACATATTTTTTCTAGGTTTATATTAAAAATACAAGGTAGGTAATCAACTGTTCTTGATAGGTAATCATCTAAAATAATTATGAACCAAATATTTTTTATGAATATACAACTTGAACAAAAAGTTGCTTAGAACAATTTTTACCAAATTTGCAAAAATTTTAAATTGAAACGCAAGTACAAGTAAACATGAAATTCAGTAAAAATGAAATTCAGTACAAGTAAACATGAAATAATAATTGTAAATACTTATTTAATGGCATTTAGAGTGTTTAACGAAAAGGTCATCTGTCCGTAGCGTCTTTTGTCAGAATATTCGTATATTTAGTGTATTATATACCAATATTGTACGCAGTTTTGAAACTGATAATTAAATAAATCATATTAGTGTTAACTAACCATAATAAATAATAGAATTTCACTAAATTTAAATTGCCCCCCGTATGGTTGAAAACAGCAAATTGATATTTGATTACTTATAGATTACCACCTATATACAAATGACACGGAGACCTGGAATATGGCGCCCAACTTGATTAGACCTTCCGCGCATGTTGACGCTCATTCTCTATCCCTTCTATTTCTCTGGCTGAGCGTCTAAAAGCGCTTAGCGTTTTCTAAGTTACAGAATTCGAACCCTGAGCTCGAATTCTGTAACCATATTCTCATCTGACCCGCTTAGCGCGTCTTAACCCATCTCTCTATGAGCTCTCGATGAGTCAAAGATTACTTGTTTTAAAATGAAGTTACTGTTTTGTTTGACAGTTTTGGGTACTGACTTTTGACAATTTTTTTGTTCCTCTCAAAGTCAACCCCCATGATAGTAAAACTTATAAGTTCCATTGGACCGTTTCTACAGGGTTTTTACAGGTATTTCATGCGATACCTTCAGGCTTATCTATTAGGGGTAGTAAAAACCTTTAAATTTAGGAGATGTAAGATTTTACTTGAACCGCCAAAAAGTGAAATAAAAATAAGCAAAAGACTTTTTCGTCCGATTTAAAATATATTTCCTTTCTCGATATTTGCGTGAACAGTTTTTCAGTTATTTTGGTTTAATTTTGTAATAATTGCCACAGATGATTATTGGAACTCAAATTTTAATCAATATCACCACAGCTACAGGATGAACGATTTGCTAATGATACTAAATTTGTTTAGCGGAACATAAATTTTGAATTTAAAGTTTAGACATGACATATGCTTGATGTATTGTGATAGATTTGTGTAATTTTCTATTATTTAAAACATACCATAAATGGCAAATTTTTATACTTTGTTTATTCTATTTTTTGCCAATGGAAATATTCTCATCATTATTACTCCTATTCTTTTTGTAAAAACCAGATACTCATAGAGATTCCACCTGTAATGATAGTTTATAACTAATTGGTAATTGCGACTTATTGTTAATTTTAAAGTATATTTCCTGTTCTAAAACTGCAAACATTAGAAAAATATAGCGTGGGATTTTAGAAATGAAATGTTTACATTAATAATATTGTTGGACTGAAAAAAATACATTTTCCTAATTAATCATTTTATCTTAACTCCTATCTATTATTATACATATAAATAAATTACATATGCAGCTGTATTTGTTTCTATAATTACTTAACAATCACATGTTACATAAATCATATATACAAGATATCTCGCTTTTCATGAAACCACCGTAATATATGAGTCATTATCATATAAAGTGATTTTCTTCAAATCTGTGTAAAAATTTTATAACTAAAAAAGTATTTGGCACATTTTTTTGTTATTTATCATTGGCGTAGGTGGTAATGTGGTTTAATTTTCAGGTAAAAGGGCACTAGGACTTGGTTTAGATATTCCTTCTATCATATTTAAATTCAGCATTCTCAAAAAAAACGATAGTAACTTTCTGGTTGTAGTCAAGGCGATTTTTTAAAAAAATTATGAAAATCAAGTAACAAACGTAGAACATTTTCTCCGATAGGATTATTGAGAAAAAATGAGCCATCAATTCGTTAGTTGAATATCCCACACCCCATGTAAGCTTTTGTTTTATTTTTCTCACATTATGCTTTTTTTAGAGACAATGATTATAATTACGAGAGAAAAATTTGTATCTAAAATAAACCCTAATATCATTTTGCACCAAAATTGCCCGCCTAATACCGCACGCCAATCATAGATTAATTTAGTACCAATTGATTCTTTTTTTACAATATACCTAGATAAATGCCCAAATATTTTTAATTTTTTTACTATAAAGCTGTGTTTTTGTATCGTTAAATTTGTCACAAATAGTTGATATATTCTTCTTATGATTAATACTTAATTGATTGTTTTACACTTGTACATAATTATTAATTTTATTATTAAATTGTGAATTTTTAGCTTGTTTTCTTTTTATTCCTTTCGATCATTGACCTCTGTTTTTTTTTTCATATAAAAATTTCAAAAATATATAAAACTTACACTATCTGCATTTTCTGCATTAATATTCCTAGGTGCGCTTTCCGCAGTACAAGCGACCAAAACCACCAGACACAGCACACTCGCGTAAACCATTTTGAGATGGCTCTGATTAGTTATGCGACAATCCGGCTTTTTATACAAAATCTACTGTTTTGGTCCGCTATTTTTTTTCGCACTATTTGACGAAGCGACACATTCTTTAGTCGGGGGTTCTGAGGTAATTTTATTCCAATTTAAGCAAAGTCAGTGTTATTTTCATCAAACATTGAGAGTTTATTTGTATCTGCAGTATGTCCCTGACCAAGACTTTAAGAAATATTAGGATAAAAGAAGCATTTGTAAGTGACCTATAAATTTGGCGTACTGCGTTAGTTTTAAGGAGCAACAATGGAATTGTTGGCAATATACCGGGTGTGTATCAAAAGTGGCTCACCTCTATAATTTTTTTATTTTTTCAGATAAAAAAACGAGATTTGGTCTGTTAGTATATGTCATAAATTAGGATTGATTGACACATTCAATTGTTTTCTGTCACTTCCTATTTCACCGGAAATAACTACAACTTTTGATTTTTAAATGGCACCCCTTTGAATAAGAAGACTAAGGAAGGAGCATAATGCTATCCATGTATTCATGCATGGTGGGCGGAAAAAGCACTCTAGGGTGGGGATCCTTGACAGTTCTGTTTGACGATTCATTTGATACATTTGAATTTGATTTGAAATTTTGTGGATTTGTCAGTGTTTACGGAGCTTATTTTATGTTATTTATTATTTATTATTTATTCTACAACTGATAGTTGTATAAAGGTAGTAAATCTAGATGGAAATTATGGCAGAACTTAAATTAACAGTGACGCTATCGCGATTTAGCAAAAAAATCTCTAAAATAGTTGGTTCTGTAGCGTGCGGTAGATCTCGGCAAAAATTGAGTGAAATAATGGAACAACTTTTCGCTAGTAAGTGACTATATAATATACATACGTGTAGTAAACCGATCATTTATGAAATTCACTTAAATTAACTAAATTATATATTTTTCTTGCATTTTAGCTTTTATTTATTACTTGTCAAAGATTAGATGTCAAAGAATTTAGATACATTAATTTGACTTACCTGCTTCAGTAGCGTATCGGATGTTTGTGTTAATAAATACTTATTATAACTTATCTATTTTTATCAGAATTATATATTTTTATAACAATTTTAATAACTACCAACATTTATTCACAACGTAAAATAAAACAACAAATTATTGAGTCTACCCCACGTCTACCCTACATCATAGTTTTACATTTTTTAAATAAAATTAGAACGACACTGATAAACCGGAATTTAAGTCGGCCATATTTGAAGCCCATCGCGGTGTACCTAAGATTTTTGATATGCTCCTTCCTTAGTCTTCTTATTCAAAGTGGCACCCTCGGTATTTCTTTATTTTTTTAATAGAAAATGATACTCTAAATAGAATGACATATCATATGACAACTTTTGCCATTTTCGCATATGGTTTATTTGAAATTGTATTATGCGGTTCATAACGACAATTTAACTGAAAATACCAAGTGTCTGATACCAAATTCATCGTAAAAAAATGCTTTTTCCAAATATGCTAATGAGCCACCCTCGTTTTATTTGAAAAAAATGAGATATGATTAAAAATGCGATTTCAGCATCTTTTAACCGGCCAGGATAAGACACTAAAAACATTGGACGATCAAATCTATTTTTCCAAGGGTCCTTGATTAAAAATTAGCGTTTTTAGCACAGAGATTGAAATTTAAAATACGATTTTTTTTAAAGCTAAAATGTCAAAAGTTCACATATGATATGTTATTCTATTCCGAGTGTCATTTTCTATCAAACAAAGTTAAAAAATACAGAGGGTGCAATTTAAAAATCAAAAGTTGTAGTCATTTCCGGTGAAACAGGAAGTGACCAAAAAAAATTGAATTCGTCAATCAATCCTAATTTATGTCATATACTAACATACCAAATCTCGTTTTTTTATTTGAAAAGATAAAAAAGTTATAGGGGTGAGCCACTTTTAAGACGCACCCGGTATAGAAGTAGTCTTCGAACTTCAACGGGAACACATATTGCCAACTCTATGAACAACTTTACAAAATAAACAAAAAGATGAGACGGTTTAGCATATGATCTATCCGATCTTATAGTCAACTAGAGAATCCGTTCTGGATGAAGTCCTCTACAGGGTGAATCTTAAATAAGTGCAAATATTTTCAGGCTTGGTAGATCTCAACAAAAAAAAACATATTTTCTCTTTATCGTTTTTCAAATAACTTCAAAATAACCGAGTTTATATTACCTTGAAAACTTAAAAAAAAATATTTTTTTGCTTTTATTTTCAGAAATACTGGAATCTTTTCTGGATTTTCTTTCTTGTAAATTTAATCTACTTCTTATGTTGCCATATTATCAACAAATTATTTTTTTAACTGAAAAAAATTCATTTTTTTTTAAATTCCAAATTTTCGATTTTTTTTCTTCAAAAAACCTCATAATCGAGCTCATAATCGTGTTTCTGGGGTCGAAGTATACTACCCCTAAAATATTTGCACTAATAAGACTCACCTTGTGTATAAATCCGGGTTTATAGCGTCCTACGGTACCCAGCTGCCAGCCTTTCCTATTTTCCGATATAGCTTTATGGCGTCCCCCAATTCATGTTGCTTGTGGTCTTCTCTTTTTTCTCCTTTCTGTATCCATTTGAAGACTTTCTTAGGTATTTGGTACTCACTCATTCTTTCAACATGCCCACACCAGACCAGCTGTCTTCTCTCTCTATTTAATCTAGTATCGTCTGCTGGACATGAATACTTTCCCTTTTCTTTTTGTTCGGTACTCTTTCCATTCTTGATATCCCCGCAGATCTTCGCCAGAAGTCCATCTCGAGTAGTAGTAATAGTCGTTGTTCTATTCTATTAGTGAGCTGCCATGTTTCACATGCATGCAAAACTATACTTTTAAAGATGGAATTATAAAGAGTATGTTTTTTTCATAATAGGAGATGTGTTTGGACCATAATACTAAATTTAGGCACCCGATTTAGTATTCTTTCCTCGATCTCGCTCTCTATTCGCCCGGTATAATCTATCTGAGTTCCAAGGTAGGTGTATTTACTGCATATCCTTATCTCTATATTCCTATCCAGATGTAGAGATTCTGCTGCTTGGCCTATACATAAATATTTAGCCTTCGACGTATTTATTGACAACCCCCACTTTTCATACGCGTTCAAAACTCTTGTTATTAAGACTCACCCTCTTTAGTGTGACCTCTTTATGCCACATTACAATACTACCTTCTTTTATATACTCCATTCTGACGGTTTGAACAAGATGTTCAATAAAGCCTAAGCCAATGCATTTTGAATGACCTCCCTTTTACCAATCAAAATAGAACAGAACAGATATATTTAATTTTCTGGTATTGGCCCTCGCTCTATAATAGATTTTTGCGAACAAATTCGCTAAAATCTCAAATCAGCACCCATGTATAATTAGCAGAAGGTCATTATAAATCATGATGATCATCCGAAAGGTAAATAAAAAATACACAGACGACATCCCGAATTTTCCCATTTACGTTTTGTACGCTGGTTTTTACATATTTAATTAACTAATTGATATTTTAGTAATTTTAGGTATTAAACTACCGTTATGTTTATAAAAAAAGGATTCGTGATCTGTCTATTAATATTAATATACCGTATTAATACGGTTTTAAAAAATATATGTATCCGTAGATTCATTCACCTTATATGAAAATAATATTTATAAATAAATACAGTTACTGCTACAACCTTAAAATTTTGATGTATTTTAAAATTTAATATATTTTGTTCTAGTGGGCCGATTTTGATGATTTTTTTAAGCAATATGTAGCTAAGTTATTTGTTTTAGGTATACTATTTCTTCTTTCTAAATTAAAAATAAAAGTTTTCATCTGTCTACAAGAGGAAAAAAGTTTGATATTTTGGTGAAAGTTTGTGGAAAACACCCTGTAGAATATGTTAAGATAGCAAGAAATTTAAAAATAATTTTTTCATCTAGGTACATCCTTTCTAGATAGTATATTTCTTGGATCATCTCATTATCTTTAATTTTGTTGGAGATATTTGCTTTTGAAGAGGACCATTCTGTTGAAAATATTTGTATCTCTTGTGGCTGACAGTATAGAACGAACTACAGTATTACAGTACTCAGAAAGTAAGCACAATGATGTTTTATGATAATAACAGGTAAAAGGTAGAAGTTATTTTAAAGCTATCTTTATGTAATGATTTATTACATATTAAACGCTTGGTTGGTTGGTTGAAGTGTCGAGTTCCACCGTTTGTCGAACTCCAATTAGCAGAATTGCCGTGTTGATACCACTCACTCTGAGACCCTATCCCTATAGGAATGGGTAAGTTGGATGGTTAACTATTTATAACCATTCGGTGGCATTAAGGTAACGGGTGACGGTTCCGTTATGCTCTTTCCGGCAACATCTTTAAGATTTACAAAGCTGTAACCTTCGAGGGAACGATTACGGGTCCTATACAAAGCCAGAAAGCGATAAAAGAAATGCAGAAAGGTTTCCCCTTCCTTCGAGTCTTTGCCGCTTCGGCAAATATCGCTAATTCTTTTAGAAAATTAAAACAACTCAAAAATTGTCAAATATAATGTTTATTAATTAACATTATAGATTAACCCTGCGGACGGGGCGCCCTTGTGTAGCTCATGAGCCGGGGCGCCGGGTCTCTGAGACCCATCGTCAAATATCGCGTTTTTTGGAAAAAAAAATTAAAACACTATATTTTAATTGAAAAAATATACCTTAGTTTATTCAAATATTATAATAGGAACATGATTTAAATATACATAGAAAAATTTTATCTTCTCTAAAATTTGTTGTCAAAAAATATACCATTTTCTAAAAACTAGGAAACAACTGGTAAATAGGTAAACAAAATAAGATTTTCTAGTGAAACTTTATAAAAATATTATAGAACAATAGTTTTTATTAATTTATGGCAATTTCTGAGCACTCAGGACACCAAGCTTCCATGTGAGAGAGACAAACAAATTGTTTACATTTTTTGCAAAAATATTTGGTTTTTGAATCCTTTTTGCAAAAAAAGCATCTTCTTCTTGTACCTGGTTGGGTTTCTTCATTTTTCATATTTTCTTGTGTTCCAGCGACTTCTTGTCTTCTTTCTTTCACCGATCTTGGCACATTTGTTTCATAGTGCGGGCGTTCCTCTTCTCTCTCTCGCATAATTTTTCGCTAATCCAGAAATATAGTGATTTGTGTTCTCCCCTACAATGTTGAGCACTTCAGTAGTAAAAAATAACGACCAACATTCAACGGGTGTTTTGGTGTTTTTCCCACAGTTTCTGACGCCTGGTAATCGCACAATAATATTTTCCCTTCTCGTTCTTACTGTTTTGTTTGGGAAATGTTTATGCCACCGCGTTGTACCATCTTTTCCAACGAAAGTTGGAATTCTTGCTAATTTTGCAAGGGGTACATCGTCGTCACTGCTATCAGAACACTCTTGTTCGGATTCGCTATCAGTGCTTCGAGTTTCAACATGATTTTCCTGAAACATCAACTCCTCTTCTTCATCATACGGCTCTTCCTCTGATGCAACTTCCTACCATAAACGACAAAGTTTTTCTTGCTCTTCTTCATAATAATTAGACATTGTTGCTAAATAAAACAAATCCTATTTATAAAATGTATACAATATAAATGACATTTACCCTAACTTACCATAGAAAAATATATCCAGCCAGTTGTAGAAAAAATACACTGAGCCGGGGCGCCGGGTCTCACAGACCAAAATCAAAATAATTCAGAAACTAAAATACTTGCTCATCCACGAATTACTGTGCACGTACTGAGTCTAAGCATAAACAGGTAGATAGATCGCCAGGCAATTACGACGATTTTCCGAAAATTGCGGATCGGTTTTCGGAGCGCCGGGTCTCAGAGACTAGGCGCCCCGGCCGGAAGGTTAAAACTATTTTTCCCATAAAAAACTTGTTCGTGTCTACGTTGCATCACAGTTGATACCACATCAGTATCAATGTTAACCTATTTTTCTATCTTTCAACAAACATCAAGCTGATTTTTCATCTTGATGAACTCATCAACTCCTGATCAACACATCAGGTGGCCTACAGAGGCCACCTTAAAACTTACAGGTCGACTAGATCTCATATAAGTAGAAGAAGAAGAAGTATTCCTTCTTTATTTACATATACATTACAATAATTTTGTTTACCTATATTTAATATTTATAAGAACAATGAAGGAGTAAAATTGAAACACATATAATGGTACAAAAATATTTTTAATTTACACGTTACACAAATTTTGCATAATTTGTTTTAATCACAATGCTTGACAGAATACTTGTTGGAATTTCGAAGGTTTTCAACTCCAAGGTCTTAAAATTAATGAGGGTTGTTACTTGCCGCTGAAAATAAAAATAATTTATTATTATTAAGAAATATACAATATAAGTTCTGTTAAAATGGCATTATAACAGAACGTGAACGTTGTTAATTATTTATAAAAGAAGTATTTGTTAAATACTATTTTGTAAGTGTTTTTGTATTGTTATATTTAGATATTTTAAATATTTTTTTCTTTGTATTTTTTCCTAAAACTTTAAAACAATTTATTTAACTAATAAAATCCGAATTCTGTGGCATTTTATTATTTAGATTTGGGTTTGAGTTGCAAAATACTTATTATATATTATATCAAATCAACTTACTATGAGCCAGCTTTTGCTGATGCAGAGGCACTGGCTGAAGCTTTGGCACCGCCTCCACCACCTCCTCCACACGTACTGCATCCACCTCCGTATCCGCCTTGTCCTCCTTGTCCACCTCCGCCGTATCCGCCTTGATTACCACCTCCAAAACCTCCCTGGCTGCCTCCTCCGTGACCTCCAAATCCGCCACCTTGACTTCCGCCGCCACCGAAACCACCGCCGCCTCCTAATCCACCTCCACCACCGCCGCCGCCTCCATGTCCACCCCCACCTAAATAAAATTGATATTTATATTTCCTTATATACAGGGTGTCAAAAACTAGTGTATCTCATTTTGGTAGGTGATTCTACAGATAAAAATAAAACAGTTCTTATAAACATATGCCCTAAAATACTTCCCGAAGAAATTACAGCCCTCGAAAAGTTAAATAAAAATATTATATTTTGTTTAATTTTGAGAACACTAGTAAACCGTTTTTCTTGAAATTTGGAATACTTGGAAAGATTTTAATGCCAAAGAGTACTTTCCATTAGGGTCACTTCTTTTATCCTTATAGATATAGTAATTTCAATAAAGAAAAATTAAAGCTAGAATTTCTTTATGCTCTTCGTTTAGTTCTCCGAGTACTAGAGCAACAAAATTTTATAGTAGATATATTTTTGGCAATAACCAATTAAATGATATTAATATAAAATATTAATGTTTATAACTGTTTTTATTAAGTTTTTAGTATCATTTTGTATTGTTATTATGTATTTTGACAGATGTAACCAACGATAAAAGGAAAAATATACTACTGAAATATGGTAATCGCAAAACAATTTCCGATGCACGTGATCAACTTTGAGTGACAAGCGATGGCGACAACGCTGCCAAATTGTGATGGATTTATGAGATGAATCTTAATTTCAAAGTGACAAACAATATATTTATTATATCATTTTTAAAGATTTTTAAGTTTCAATTTTAATTTAGTAACTAATGTTTTAGTAATTAATTGACTTAGTTATTTTACAGCTTATTTTCCTTATTACATATTGGCTTAAAAACTAGTCCATTATGAAGATTATTCTAAGCGTTATTAAGGGTCATTTATTTATTTATTGATGTACATCTTACAACGCCATAAGTGGTGATAACAAGTAAAGGGTGCTATTAGAATTTAATAAAAACTAACAGAAATAACTTTGAGAGTGGTGTAATGTGCTTATCAATCAAACTTACTTCTCTGACTGCAATAATAATAAAGCACATTTATTGTCACGTTCTCGTTGAAAATAGTTTATCAGGCAAGCTACAAGCTTTTTGCTTCGACTGTTTAAATGCTTCGGCATATTTTCAACACACTATTTCAAGAAATGCAATACAAAAACTCGAAGATTTAGTTCTGACAAGAACTTTTTGTGCTTAAAAGTAAAATTTAAAAAAAACTTTGAAAATAGGCAGAAAAACGAGAATTACTCACAAAGATGCAACAACAACACGATATTATACAAAATAATGACTGACATTAGGATAATTGTCAAATAATAAACGACAACCTTGCTGAAAACGCCGCAATGTGACCAACATAGCGATAATAAAATTCGGTTTAAACTAATTTTTGCAGCTTTAATCTAAATAAAATATCTGTTACAATCATTTGCTCTATAAAGTCAAATGAAGAGCTGCTCGGTATCTTAAATTATTCAACAAATTTAAACATTTTTGCCAAAATTTTATTTAGTCAGGTTTATAGACTTTAGTGTCAATGTCGGTATGATTGATGACGTGCATCGGAAAATGTTTTGTTATTACAATATGGTATTAACTTAAAATACAACTTTTATCCCTTTCAACCGATTTTGTATCTCTTGTAGTTTCCGCGATATCAATAGTAGACATCGAAATTGTCACTATCCTGTATAGTTTGGTATATTTTTTATTTCTTACCACTTCCTCCGAAACCACCTCCTTCATGTCCTCCACCACCGCCTATAAGTTAATTAGAAAAAATATATTTTGATATATAATTTGGGATTATCTATTGTATCTTTTACCATTTCCTCCGAAACCGCCTCCTTGGGAACCACCTCCACCACCTCCAAGTCCACCTCCTTTGCCACCGCCGCCGCCAAATCCACCTAAAAATTACACAAGTTTGCTTAAAAACTTGAAGAGATAACTTTGAATTTACCTAGAACAATCTAGTTATGCTTTACGATATTATAAAGTTTTGGATAGAGTTGTAGATACATTTATTAGGCATTTATATTGTTAAAAACAAACTTACCACCGCCTCCGAATCCACCTCCACCACCTCCTCCAAAACCGCCTCCATATCCACCTCCGCCTCCTTGGCCACCTCCACCTAGACCTCCTTTACCTCCATAGCTTCCTGGAGACCTTTTACTTCTCTCCAGCTGTAATAGAAAGAAAATTGCATTTAAAAAATTATGTTTTTTTTCTGTAAAAATGTTATACTAATACATATACTGAGTAATAAAAAATGGAGACACCTATATGTATACATTCATAGGATTTAAATAATTCTTCAGCTTGTGACTTAACAATCGATTAATTTTTCAGCTGTATCAGATATCTTAATGAAACCTCTGGGTGAATCTGGGGTGTGTTTCTGGCCCCCAATTTCTGACACACTCATTGAGACCCCTGAGTCTGGGCTCTCTGATAAGTAATAATAATCTCTATTCCAGGTTGCTTCAATTTCATGCATAACGGCTGCTCAAGTCTGCGGAGTGTGTTCTACCAAGAACAGACTCAACTAACTCTGTGCATGTGTTTCACTTTATTTCTAGCCCTGTCTTGGGTTAGTTTTAGATGTTCAATACAGGGTGTCATTCAAATGGTGTAAAAAAATGGGGGGGGGGGGGTGATAGTACTCTATATACTCGTACTAAGATATTTTAAAAATCATAAAATTTTGATTGTTCAATTAATTATTTGATAACTACTTGGTTACATTTGAACCGCCATAACTTTCATAAGTTTATGTTGATACCAACCCATCAGAGCAAACTCTTTGCCTTCAATTTTCTCGAACACCATCGCTCTGGGCGATGTGCAACAAGAGTACCATTTTTGTAGGAAAAAGTATGTAGTGTAAACAACCCCCTACCCTTGCAAAAACTACCCTTTCCGCTTTTCCAAATAATTTTTCAGTCATCACCATTTGATTTAGGGTCAAAATTTATGGCAAAGCATTATTTTTCGAAATTTTATCTCATTTTTTAAGCCTACAATTTCAAAACAACCGTTTTTTAAATTCACCCTTTCAGTGCCCCTAACTCCCTTAATATGCATTTTCCGCCCTATACTTATAGGAAATTTTTTTACTATTTTTAGGAGTACCCAGATACACCTTTTCAATGACACCCTGTATAAAACAGGTTAGCTCAGTTAAAAAAATGAGCAATTTCATTTCTGTTTAATTAAATGTTTACTTACCAGAAACTGTTGTAATGTTGCTTTAATTAATAAATTTATACAATTTTTGCTACATTTGACATTTGCAAAAGTGTGGCACTTAAATCTTATTATATACCAATTAAAGGGAATTATGCCCTTCAATTTGGAACACAGTTTTATTAGGGCTCGAACACACTGACGACCAGGTCGCACCGGCCAGGCCGCAGCTACCTCTAAAACCATTAAATCAAATGATATAGCGCACACTAACGTCCTGGCCGTCCGTTAGTCGTTGCGGCCAGAAGACTACGGAAATATTATTTATTTTCTGCCGCTCGTTGCCGGTTTTCTTCCAAATGAATAATTTTTCAGATGAAATCCCTCAAATTCAAGGCACAATATTTTATTTTCTATAAGATATAGTGTTTTAGTATAGTTTTTGCACACATGCAGAAAATCCAAAGAAATAGTATACAGACTGGATCAAAGGTAAACTTAAATCTAATCCGTTTTTTTTATCAAGGGTCGATTCTAGTAAAAACTCAATACATTTTTATATGACATACCTACTCTATTTATGGTTGGTATGATACCTGTTATTATACCTTTGAGTTTCGATGTTTAAAAAATAAAAAAAATAATATTTAAAGTTTTTCTACAACCACTTGTTTTTTTATTAAATTAGTTTTTTTAGTTGTATTGTAGTCATGTACAAGGAGGACAACTGTATTTTAAATGTGATATTTAATTTAATGTTTTTCAAACAGGGTTCATTAGACTATATTTCTACTAGGTACATTATTTTGAAAAAAAAATTAAGAAAGTACCTTAAACATTCATAAAAATAGAAGTAATTACTTCTTGTAGATTCTTCGTTATATTGTAAACATTGAAATAACTGGAAGCTAAACTTTCTACCTGCTTATATTTAGAGCCAGTGTCTGACGATCTTTTTTTACGATGGCCCTAATATGTTTACTTCTAAAGCCGACAAGGGCGCCATATCAGTAGAAAAAAGAAACAGAATATCTCCCTTTTTGTCGGTCGCGCGTACACAATGCTTTTTGTTTTTTGTGAATAGCAACTTCGCTTTTTAGTTAACTCGGATATTTTAACATTTCTGAAACAATATTTTCTAATTGGTAAAACGTAAAAAATAGTTAGATTCGACAACTCTGTTGAAACTGGTCGTTCATCTGGCCGCAGCTAAAAACGCAATACATCCGGCCAGCCGACGGCCAGGTCGTTGCGATCTGGTCGTCAGTGAGTTCGAGCCCTTAAAAAAAATCTTAAGTAAAATTTATATCTGTTCGATTGTTTTCAACATTTTCCACTATTTTTTTCAATTTTAATAAATATAATAATGAATTAGTCGTCAATATTGTTTAGTAACTATTATTAACTGCTATTAATTGTTCATTAAGGTAATTGTATTTATTCCATAATATTTACTTTATTATATGTATGTTGTTAAACAAACTTCTATGAGATAAATTGCAATAATATTTTGATTGGATTTGACGATATTTTAAAGATAGACATAATAAGGTTAAAATTAATGATAAATATAACGCATAGATGAGGTGACCTATGATGTTTTGCCTAGCAGATTATATCTCAAAAATCGATATTTATTTTATTAATTACTATTTTTAAAGATCCATTATCAGCTGTGTTAAAAATATCATATTTAAATCGTTATGTGAAAAATTAATTAAAAATGGTCTTTCCAGTAATTCTCATTTTTGTTGCATATTAATGTGTTATTTTTAATTAAAAAATGTTTACCTACTAGTCTAATTGTGATTTATTTTATCTTTTCTAGTAAAATAACCGAGGAAATAACTTAACATTAATATAAATTTCATTATTTGAAAAGATGACCTAAAATAGCAAATGTTTTTTTTAGATGCACAACATTTTGGATTAGAAAAAATAAGAAAGATATTAAAGCATTATAAAGACAAAATAAACATCCGAAAAAAAAGATAAACAATAAACAACGATAAACAAGACAAATAACATCCAAAAGACAAAATAAACTCAAAAGACTCAGCGCAAAAAACATAATAGACATATCCATTTTGACCCTCACTATTGTCAATGACCTAAAATATCATAACTATAATAACAAAAAATATTATATCAAAAACCATGTGAGTGTGAGAAATTTTATTTTGGTGAAAATATTTAGGACCTCTAAATTAAAGAACATAACAATTATTTAAAAAAGGCAGATTTTCCCAAATTTAGGATTAAGCGATAGCGATGTATTGGTATTGCTTTTTTGAATTTTGATTTTGATTTGTAGCTTCCCGTTGGATTTTACGCCCATTGATGCTTACAAAAAATCACTTTTTTATTTCTTAGATTTCAATTTCAGTGGTGAAATGCCAGACCTTTTCACAAGAAAGACACTCACCACAAAGATAAAGACATTATTTACATCTGGGATAATATTAAAATGGTTTTTAGATTTGTATTAAAACTTTTAGTGTAATTTATGTAATATATTGAAAAAAATAAAAAATATATCATGCTGAACTTAATCTTTTAATGGTTTTTCATGCCCTACACTTACCGGTCCACCTTCAATGGCACCGCAAGCCAAAACTACCAAACACACAACCTTTAGGTAAGCCATAACGAACGGCTCTGGTCCTAATCATAACAATTACATGGTTTTATAGTCGTTGATCTGTTTTGGTCAGCTATTTTTTTATGTAGCGTTGTTTCGGTGAATTGTAGTCCAGGTTCTTATGTAAATAAAAACAACATATGGATCATGCTTACTAAAATGGGACAAGACTGTCGATTTAAAGATGACTACCTACCAATAAAAAAATTAGTAAAATTAGTCACCTTTTTATATTTTAATTTTGTAAGTAGTTTTACAAGCACGAAGTTCTAGCAAATAGTTAAGGACTTGGACGCTTATTCTTGAGCGTAATATAGAGGATTATAGGAACATAATAGAACAATTTATGGGAATTGTTTTATAGTTATATTCTACTAATACTCTTAGGTTACTAATATTGGCTACTAATACTGGTTTAGGCTATTATAGGTGTTCTTAGTTTTATATTAGCTTTTATAGATTTTCCTTTTTTTTCTCAATAACAAGGGGCGGTCCTCTGCGGGTAACACTGCAACCTGTTAGGCATATTGTGTTTGTCCCCTTTCTATATCTGCATCCATTCGCCTATCCCTCTGTGCTCTGCACTAACTTATGCAGGTCCTTGATAGGATGGGAACATAGTTCCTCCGGTTCTAGCCTACCTTTCCCAAATAAAAGTGTCGCTTGCGATCCAAAGCCTCGCAGTGACATATTATGTGCTCCGCTGTTTCAGGATCTTTATCGCAGAGTCTGCAACAAAGACTTCCTTGATACAGGTTGAGCTTGTTCAGGTAACACTTGACAGCCATGCGTCCTGTCAATAATCCGCACTTTATTCCTGGTTAGGTTAAATAGGTTTTCTAGTTCATAGATTTCTACTTTAATAATCTCTCTTCATAATTTTCTACTTACCAACGAAAAATATGAAGTATAAAGAGATTACATTAGGAATGTGGTGAGGTGTAATGGATATTCTCCTTCATTAATTGATAAAATAATTAGAGAACATAGGTATAAGTTTCCGATTTCTGTAAATTCGACTTTTCAAGTGGAGAAAGATACGTCAAAATGTTTTTCAATACCGTTTGATAGAGAGTTATCCTGTGGTTTAAAAAGAATTTTTAAGAATGTTAATTATAAACTTGTGTATATAGTGCTAATAATTAATAAATTACAACAAAGATTTTTTGGTAATCCTAAAGATAAAACACCTCCACTGGAAAGATCGTGTATTTGTGAAATTTTAAGTAAAGATTGTAATCAGAAATATGTTAGGCAACTAGAAGATCAATATTAACTAGATTTAAAGAACATATGGTTCAGATAAGATATAGTAGACTGGATAAATCTTGCGTTGTTCAACATATTGTTGATAAAGAACACTGTATAGATATTCATAATTTAAAATTAATTAAACAAGTCTCAAATTACAGGCAATTAGATGCATGAGAGCGTCAAAATCAATTTTTAGATATTAGTTCAGTTTTATTAATCATAATCTTCTATTGACAGGGTGTCGGTAGAACAGGGCCAATAGAAATTACCGATTTCTAACCTAGGCGTTTGTCATAATGTCCAATGATAAATCAGCAAATGCCTAATTAGAGAGCAAAATATCGATATTTTTCACGAATTTTACTGTTGGCTATGACAATTAGCAAATGCCTAGGCAAATTATTATTTGCGTAAATTAGTTTTATGCGTATTATATGGGCATATTCAAGACAATAATCAATAGACACGTGCAGACTTGTTCAAGTGAAGTTCCGTTGGAATCAATGAATGTTAATCGGTCTAGTGAAGCATTCAGGTTTTTTTTTCAATTTTTGTAATATCGCGTTAGTTAGCTTTTTTTTGGCTATTTTGAACCATCACAAATTAGATTATGACGTATTTTATATTCTATTTTTACACAAAACAATTATAGTCATTTTATCTTCTCTTTTAAAAGAAATATCCGAATGGTTCTGTGTTTTCCTGATTATTTATTTTGGATTTTATTAAAACGTGTTCTGTTTAAAACAAGTTATAGAAAAAAGATCGGCAAGAAATTTCGACACACAAAAAACATTTGTTGATTTACGGAAAGCGTACGAGACTGTCCCAATATCAAGACTATGGAGGGTACTAGAACAATCTACTTATCAACCATACTTATATAACAACTCTTAAGGAACTATATAAGGACGCAAAATCAAAAATAAAAGTGTGAAAAGAGCTTACAGAAACATTTATAACCGACAAAGGCTTGCGTCAAGGTTGTTGCATCTCCCCTACTCTGTTTAAAATATACGTTGCAGTCGCTTTAAAAAACTGGAAAAGAAAGATCCGTGGTATGGGCATAGAGATTGACAATGAAAGTCTGTTCACACTTCAATTCGCAGACGATCAAATAATAGTTGCCAATGACAAAGATGATATGCAATATATGCTAAGAAAACTTATTGAAGAATACGGAGAATGGGGCTTGACAGTTAACATAGCCAAAACAAAATATCTATGTATAGGCGCACAAGAAGGAAATTTGAACTTGGACAACGGTCACGAAATTAATCAGTGTCAAGAGTATGAGTACCCGGGAATTACATTTGATAACGTTGGAACTGACGGCAGAGAAATAGAGAAAAGGATTATCAACGCGAAAAAATAATCGGATGTCTAAATGGAGAAATTTAAAGAAAATTCAATATATATATGAAATCATGATAAAGAGCCACTTCCTGTATGCAGCAGAAACATGGAGAATAACTGAGAGATACAAGAAGAGGATAGAGGCCGTAGAAATGGATGTCATTCGAAGATCAATGGGAATTTCAAGACAACAACGAATAAGAAATAATACCATAAAACACGTACGATAACACAGAATATAGAGAAAAAGCAGCTGATCTGGTCCGGACATGTAGAGCGAATGAAGGACATTAGATGGCCCAAGAAAATAATCAATTGGCAACCAAAGGGCAGAAGAAAACAGGGAAGACCGAAACTGGAATGGCAAAGAAGCGTACACAAAGCGATGAGTGAAAGAAACCTGTCAACAGAGGATTGTACGAATAGAACCGGCTGGAAATTGGGTATCGGACAACGTAGAAAAACGTTCTAAACCGACTAATATATATATTTTATTAAATATTTTAATATATTCTAATATTACTGTCTTACAAAAGAATATGAACTTCCACTATCCATAGACTTTGAGACCAGCTTTCGACTCGATATATCCTGAGGCAATAATAGAAACCCTAGCAAAACAAGAAACTCTCGCCAATATATGCAAAGAAGCCAAAGCAATAGTAATGATAAATAAAACAACTACAGAGTTCTCAACTGGCAAGGGAGTATGACAGGGGGGCGCATTATCTCTAAAGCTGTTTACAGCAACACTAGGAGAAATTTTCCGTCAACTGGACTATACCATCAAAGGATTAAAAATAATCTAGGAAATAAGATGGGTAATATCTTAACCATCAACATAGTCTAAGAGCTACTTACTTCCTGCCATTACTCGCTGACGAATATTTAACACGCATCAGAAGATGGTTACGCAAGGCGTTTTCTTTCATGAGCTTTTCTGTGACTGAAAAGCCCGATACGTGATCTACCGCACTCCGGACATTCAAAAATCTCATTACTTTGTTGCCTCTTTACTTTTTGATTGTCGTTGTTAACTGAGTTTACAAGTATTCTCCTCCATTCTATTCTATTGTGCGCTGCTTCTTCCCACTGATGCTGCATATTTATACCCTTTAATTAAATTAATTTAATTTTAATTAATTTATAAATGCTTAACTTTCTCTAAAGAGCCGATAAGATGCAAACTGGTAGTAGAAAACCAAATTATTGAACAAGTATCACAGTTCAGATCATAGGCATAGATATGTCGCACTACTGTGATCCAGAGAAAGATCTGAGAAGCCAGATAAACAGAGCAACGGCCATGTCAGGATGTCTGAGACAAATAGTGTGGACAAAACCCTTCATGCGAACAGACAGCAAAATTAAATTTATAAGACCGATAATGACATATGGGATAGAAATCCGAGAGGAAACAAACAAGACCAAAAGCATGTTAAGAGTCGCTGAAATGAAGAACCTAAGAACCATAATGGGGAACCCTAGAAGAGACAGAATTAGAAACACAAATATCAGACAACAATGTGGAATATAGGACGTAGTGAGGTGGGATAGGCAAATAGAAAGACAATGCTTCGCAAACGTAAAACGCATGGAAGAAAATAGGCTACCACGGATAGCTCTTGAAGGGAAACCCATGGGTAAGAGACATCCGGGAAGACCTCCAAAAAGATGGAAAGACAGTTGGCACTCTATCTCGCAAGAACTTCTACAGAGGTAACCTTAAAATTAACAGATCGAAAGATCTCAAATAAGTAAAAGAAGAAGAACAAGTTTTCATGGAAAATATCCTTGTATTTTTTGAGTTGTCCACACGGTTTCCTCTTACCGTCAACAAGCTCACCGTAAAGAACAGATTTCGGTAGGCAGTTTTCTTGCATCCTGCATACGTGGCCAGTTCATCTTAAGTGGTATTTAGTAATCATAACTTCAGCGCTCTCGCAGTTTGCTTTTTCAAGAACTCATACGTTTGAGACTACTAGCACAAATTAAAAAACTAAATACAGCCAGCAATAAAGAAGGTCTCAAAATGAATTTAGCAGAAACTAAAGTAATTTAGAACGAACTAGTAAACAAAAAAGGCAGGCAGAATAACCAACAAAGACCGTAAAAGAATAAAGTAGATGCGACAGAAGACCCAGGTAATAGATGTCATCCACAGAAGGCAATGAGCAAGACACCTGGCAAGAAGAGGAATTAAAAGACCTAGAAGTAGACCAAACTGAGATGGGACCATGATATTAAGAAATGGCAGGGATACATTGGCCCCGCATAGCCAATAATCAACAACAATGGACCCTACTACAAAGAGAGTATCTAAATATGTGAGGGAAGCTATACCATAATTGGAACTGGTTGAATACACTGTTAGTGATGATGATATGGTAGATAAAGTATTAATATACTCGTATTAATATCTAATTAGCCACCTAAACAAAACGATTTTTTGGTAGTTATCATCGTTATTAAATACCATTAGCTCCCATACTAAAAAGTTAGTAACATTAATTCAATTAGATATTAATCTTATATAATCTTATGCAGACCACACGAAGGTCAAAATACATCTTGTTTAAGAATAAAAAATCATACTGTATTAGAAAAAACCGACATGTGTTTTGTTGTTGTTGTTTTTTTCGTGCTATTTTTTATGCATTGTTCTTCAAGAGTCCAAGAAATTAATCTTGATGAGATCTGGTAGGGTCTTCGCTTTCGTTATAAGAAATATGATCGATACGATCGATCTTAAGGTTCTTAAGAACTGAAGCTGGGTTTTTGTTATGGTATTAGGACTGATCTGATTTAATATTCATAGAATTGAATAGGTAGAAAAAAAAAATTTTTATACCCGTTTTTACGTCTGAGCAGTTTTCTTGATTAAACCAGTACTGCAAAATAATAATGCTTTTCTAAGCAACTTAGTTTGGTTTGGCTTGGTAGATGTTCATGAAATTTATCTAGAAATGTGTTAGATGTCTGTATACTCTATTTTTTTTTCTCAGGTAAGATTGCGACAGACGATGACAGAAGAAAAGCAGATGACGTCCCATACCAATCTATTTATTTTACTAAAAAAAGTTTCCAATAATTTTTAAGTTAACTATGGATGGGTTTAAACATAAATCCGTCATGCGTCGTCCTTTTAATTATTTTTTCTGCTCTGGTGAGATCTCATTTGGAATTTGCAACAATTTTTATTAAACCAACTAGTCAAAAAAATTTAAATAAACTAGATGTAGTATTTTTTAGGGTTTACGTATTTGTCTAGGTTGTATGAAATCTACTCCTAGATTAGCGTTGTTGGGAGAATCTTCTATGATTGATTTAGAATGTAGAAGAAAAATACTTGTAGGCAAATTTCTGTCTAAATTGTTAACTTTACAAAATAATCCATTAATAAATTTAATTTACAATATTAGAAAAACTGATGCATTTTGATTCGTGTTATTACGTGTGTTTTGTGTCTTTTGAAGTCAAGTGGAGGAAAAATCGAGTGAAAATTAACTGTTCACCCAGTTTATGGTTAAGACTCGCTGCCCAGGCAGAAAGTCTTATATACCAATAAAGTTACCATTAATAAAGTTCGTATACCATCTCGTCGTAGATAAGTGCATCTCGAATATGGTAGAAGGACCATACTAAATACATACTAAAAACTGGAGTAGCTGTAAAATATCGACATCACACGATAGGTAAATAATGGATTTTATTACTGCAGAAAAATAATGTCAAAAGGTACTGGTTTAAGAAATTAAGATTCAACTCTCTTTTTACTCTTCAACACGTTATTATTTTTCACAGTTTCCCTCAGGGTAACTATTGTAATTAGTTTATCATAATTAAAGTTAAGTTATATTAAAAAACAACAGTGTACATTAATTCCACACCCGAAAAGACCCTCAACAAGTTGGCCCTTCTGAAGAGGACCACAACAGTAGCTGTAAAATATCGACATCACACGATAGGTAAATCAAAGTTTCATAAAGCTTGAAAGTAAGAAATAGTTCTTTTTATTTTTTTTTTGGTATGTGGTGTCTTGATCTTGTTTGTTTTGTATTAACACATACCGTTTTTTATTAAATAAAATAACTCGATTACATTTTTTCAGTTTTATACAGTTTTTTTTTTCACAATATTTTGAAGTAATCACTTGTCAGTCAAATTTTAAATATATTAATTTCCTGCTATGCGTTCCAGTTGTACCAACTTATTTCTTTGTAAAATAAAATAAACTAATTTGAAATTATAATGACAGACACATCTATCACTGTCAAGGATCTTCTTGTTGGACAGACTATATATAGTTTTTTATTTTGTATATTAAATAAATATTTATTAACTAAAATATATATTTACAACTGTTTAAAAATATACAATTCAATAATATTATTAAGCTTTATCTTCGTGGCAATTGTTGGTTGCAATTAGTTGGTCCTTCTTCATCTGCAACAGTTTGAAGACTTTTAAGACTCTTCCTGGGCTGGTGGTATCGAAGGCATGCTTCTTTTCTATGTCGTCTACGTTTAAACGCTCTTCTCAAATATCATGTTTTAAATTTTTTTCTTAAAATTTTTAGAATTTGATTGTGTTAATTCTCTTGGTAACCTATTATATATTCTGTTGTTAGTTTTTGTGAAAGTTTTTTTTTCAGTTCTCTTGGCTGTTCTGATGTCTGATTTTCTTCTAGTTTCGTAAGTGTGTATTTGTTTGTTAGTTTTTAAAGAAATGTTTGTTTTTACTAATTTATTTTTGATTTTGTGTAGAAGTAATATATTATGATATTTTATTAATTGTCTTATGTTTAGTTCTTTTGTTTTTTGGTATACTTCTTCTGTTGGTGTTAGTTTATCTAAATTAAATATTATTTTTATTGAAATGTCCTCTCAGTTAATATATTTCGATATTTTAAATAGTTTTTTGTTCTTGTTTTTACTTCTGACAACGGGAGGAAATATACCTTCTGAAACTTCTGATCTTGTTTTTCGAGATAAAGCCACTTATAAGCTGGTTTTTATTTGGATTCTTCGCAAAGGTGTTTTACAAAAAAATACTTTTTTATTTTTAGTTTCTTTCAGTAGCCAAGTTTTGATATTTCCGATCGATTTCATTTTACCAAAAATTATAATAATCATTTTTAATTCATCTTAGTTTTTTATCAAAATAATATACATAATATTTTGTCTTTGTTATAAAATTAATTGAAATTCTGATCCAATATAATCTTATATTAAAAAACAATGACAATTCCTGTAGTTCATGTTGAAAGAATTAATGGAGAAAATAAATACTCCAAAAGAATTAAAATGAATAGAGGGAAATTATATGTATATTCGTAAATTTGAAAAAAAAATCTTTAAAACTTTTCATTTTATAATATCAAAAGAGTTATTTCAAGTAGATAATATTTGCACTAACATCAGTAACCTGTTTGCACGTTAAACATATATAATTAAAGTAATGTATTTAGCGTTGTTAGTTTATTTCTTATCGTGTTTACTATCTTGCTAAGATATTTATAGAATGAAAAATAATAGATTTATTTAATAACAATTAAACGTCTATAACACAGCAATAACTGATAAATTTACAATAATGGACTAATGGATAATTTAAAAAATTAAATCTCTTTTTCTAACAAACATTTTTATTATTTACGATCATATACTAGAAACAGTTTATTTATTTGCCACATTTTCTACAACCTCCACCTCCTGGATATCCTCCTCCGTGTCCTCCTTGACCTCCATAACCACCTTTGCCCCCTAAATAAAATAATAGAATATAACAAGCGGCTAATTAAGGCGTTAAGTTTGAAAATTTTACTAAGTAGGTACCTATCACGTCAAAAAATGTACAACGCAAAATTTACAACTTAACACAGTTTTCGAAATATTTACTATATTTTTTAAAAATACAGGGTGGCGCACCTCATTCGCCTCAGTTGATTATACGAAAACGGAAAGATGTAGAAACAAATATTTTTTTGGGTCTATGTAGAGAGGCAATGTGCATCATTTAAAATTGTTTTCATATATACAGGGTGCGTCAGAACTAAGATCCATACCAAAGTTATACTTTTTTCTTATGGAACACACACCTGGTATTTTATTTCATTTTTGGATTCGGGGGCATAAAATAAGGCATTTACTGTAAGGGTTTAATATGTTTAAATCCTTTGGTTTTTGAGATATTTAAAGATATTTAATTATGCATGCTATAATAAAAAATATTGTCAACACCCTGTACATTGCTTTTCAGAATTAATTATTCTGCTGACTTTGAAGCCAGAGAAATAAACTCTACTAAAAAAATTTATTGCTTCCTTAAATGTATACAGGGGTATCAAAAATTGCTGGTCTATTTTAAATATATATTTTACATAAAAACTTTGTTATTTCAAATACAACACTATGTATTTTTTTAAATAAGTCGAAGCAAATTTAAGTGCTCTTTCAAACTATATTAGGGTTTCCTATACCTATCTGGCTCAGATTTTGAATAAAAAGCAATTTTTCAATAAAATGGCAATCAAGATGGCTGGTGTCGCCATGGCAGTTTTCTAGTGATAGTTAGTAGCTATTTTCAAAATCGACAGTATTTTATGTACTTTATTTAAATTTATAACAATTTACTTTTACTTAATTTACCTACAATAGTTTAATAAGTAAGTATGTATTATTTTATCAAGAAAAATAAAGATGTAGTTCTTTTTGATTTATATTACGATGACTAGTAGATATATTGGATTTTCATAAAAGAACCAATTAAGTCAAATTCATTTTCATCACTTCCAACGACAGGTTTCTGCCTAATATGTTTTTCATATACCACCATCAGCTCTACAAAATACGAAAAGTAGTTTTTCAAAGGAACGCTTGTCAAGAAAATTCCTATTTGGATGTCTGAGCATAACCTAACCCTTCAGGCCAACAAACAATTGTCCTCACAAAATAAAATCACTAGTAACATATCCATTCCTTCCGCCAGCATATACTAATTCATTTTTCTTGATAAAATAATAAATACTTACTTATTAACATTATTGTAGGTAAATTATATAAAAATAACCTGTTATAAATTTAAATAAAGTCCATACACTAATGTCGATTTTGCAAATAGCTACTAAGTGTCACTAGAAAATTGCCTTGGCGACACCAGCCATCTTGATTACAATTTTATTGAAAAATCGTTTTTTATTCAAAATCTGAGCCAGATAGGTATAGAAAACCCTAATATAGTTTGAAAGAGCATAGAAATCTGCTTCAACTTATTTAAAAAAATACATAGTGTTGCATTTGAAATAACAAAGTTTTTATGTAAAATAAATTTTTAAAATAGACCAGCAATTATTGATACCCCTGTATACATTTAAGGAAGCAATCAAAAGTTTATTTCTCTGGCTTGAAAGTCGGCGCAAGAATTAATTCTGAAAAGTAATGTACAAGGCGTTGACAAACTTTTTTATTATCGTTAACATTTAAAACAACTCATTCATTGTTAGCATAGTTCATGGCTCTAATTGGTTTAATTTCTTCTGAGTGGTTGTACTTCCTAAGTGACTTTTGTCTTTGGGCCTGAAGATGGGAATATTTTAAATTCCCGAAACATGTCGCCCCCCTTGCTTTTTTAAGCATTATTTTTTTTTTTAAATTAAACAACTTAAACATTGTGAGTTATTGTCCTTTTACCCTCCTTCAAAGGTTTGCTTTGATAAATGTATAATATTTCTGTCAGTTTTGCAGAATATGTCAAAAAGAAAACAAATAAACCTACTACATCACATTTTTATAATTTAAAATGCGACAGAGAGAGAGAAAGAGAGAGAGAGAGAGAGAGAGAGAGAGAGAGAGAGAGAGAAAACACTTACCTCCAAATCCACCACCACCTCCAAATCCTCCTCCTTTACCACCACCTCCACCAAATCCACCTAAAAATAAATTAATTTAAAAAAATAAGTTAAAACAAAGTCGATATTTGTAATAAATCGGATACTTACCACCTCCTCCAAATCCACCACCTCCCCCGGAACCTCCACCACCTCCATAACCTCCTCCATAACCACCTCCATAACCACCTCCTCCTCCAAGACCTCCACCTCCATAGCCGCCTTTACCAGGTGATCTTTTTTCTCTTTCCAATGTCAACGTTTCTATAGGAGGGTCCCCTAGTATTCTCGAATTTTCATTATGGACCTACAATTTCAGAATTTTACCTACTGCAAATATCGCAATAAATAATTGGTTCAAAATGATAATAAAAACTGTTTATAAAAATAATATCGGCTGAGAACAAAATTACTATACTCATTGCATTGGTTTTTATATATGTTGGTAAAAATATAAATTTGCGTTCAAAAAATATCTAAATGGAGTCAAATTTATAATTTTTCACTAAGAGGTTTAGTTTCAAATTCAATTATACTGTCAATTATACGAGGTAAAACAAAATGTTGATGTTTTGGTGCAAGTTTGAAACAGTCTGTGGAATATGTTAACAAAGCAAGGAATTTAAAAATAATTTTATCATCTAGATATTACATCAATCATAAACACTATTTTATAGATATGTTGCCTAGGACCAAAAGGAATGGCATGGTTTTAATGTAAAAAATTCGAAAAAGTTAGCGTCATCTCCAAAAGCGAATATGTCCAAAAAAACATAAAGCTATAGAGATGAATCAAGAAAAAACTATAGAGAAAAGATAAACCTAGATGATAAAATGAATTTTAAATTCATTGCTTTGTTAACGTACTCCACAGGGTGTTTCAAACTTTCAACAAAATATCAACATTTTGTTTCCTAGTATAATTTACAGATGGCTATTTTTAAATAGAAATTAATTATTTTATAGAAATTATTAGTACTTCTTTCTATTTTTAAATAGAAAGAAGTACTAAAATGTCAAATAATTAGCTACAAATTGCTTAAAATACATAAAAATTTAAAAGTGCACGTTTTTCGTACCGTTTAGTGTATTATTTTTTTATTGATTTGTGGAAACAAATAATTTATTGTTCTTAATAATTTTAATAAAATACAAGGTCCTGTTAATACAGGGCTGCCCCTCGAAAACGTTCCGCAAGGCATAACGGCCAGGGTATTTCTTTTTTCAAAAAATCCAAAAACACGTCAATTTTGTTTGTGAGGGGGACAACTTTTGTCCTAAAAATGATTGCAAAATCTTCAACCCTCTAAGCGAGGGTGTCCTCCTTCAACTTTTTTCAAATGGGAGGGGGGGGTCAAGTGGTGCCGTAATGAAAAGGGCTTTCTATTCTCTATATTTCCCCGCTTCGTTTTTAAAAATCGGTCGAGTCATTTTGAAAATATGAAGGATTGAAATTTGAAAAGTATTTTTTGCAAAAAAAAAACGCATAAATTGAATTAATTAAAAAAAATTCACAGATTTTGCAACATGCGCAACCATCATAGGCGTATTGAAAATACCAGACACAAAAGTCGGCGGTGGTCTGCAATCACCTGTTTTTTACATTTTATATTAACTTGTGACGTCGTTTGGAAGAGCTCAATAGAAATATAAAAGAACTAGCTGTTTGGAAAGCAATTTGACATTCGTGACGTCAGCACTCCGGCAGTCTACGTATCACTAATTGCCATTCGCAAATATATTCCAGATACGTATAGTGAACAAGTGAACCGTTCGCAACGTTAAATAATTTTGATATTTGATTTTTATCGTGATGGCTTTTTATAAAAGTGAAGAATTTAGTAAGAAAAATATTAATGATGGAGATGAACGTGTACGGATTCATGAATGGTCACGATCACGGCCACGACACTATAGAAATGTGAGGTATGTATGTATATATACTCGTATATATAGAATTAATGGCATTAATTTGCAATAGCACCTCGAACCCACAGTTTCATTATGGAGCCACATTAAACCAATCAGAATGAGTATTATGTTACCGTAAAAGCCCGAATATTGGTTAAACGTAGGCTTACCCACGTAGGAGCCCGAAATATGCAAAAAATGTCACTTTAGGTTAAGTTTAGATTAGGCCTATATTTTTATTAATGCAAAACCAACTAAAACCTAATTCTAATTTAACCTAAACTCACTCCCTCTTTTGCATATTTCGGGCTATTACCTGGGTATTTCTAGGTTTAATCAATATTCGAACTTACGGTGTAAATTTATGGACGGTCCATAAATTTAAATTCGCCGTACAAAAAATGAGTAATAGTTACTGTAGATAAAAATAAATTAAAATATAGTTCCACGATAATTTAGTTTGCAGCTTCTTTTCATCATACCTAGTAAAAACCCGTCACAGCCACTACTCATAGTATGTATACCTATGTATTTTTAAACATCATTATGAGATTTAAGTCATAGGTGCCCATAATATGAGTAGCGGTATCGACGGTTTTTTGTTATGATGAAAATGTTGTGTGATATGAAAAAGCAACAAAATATATTATCGATTGCAGCAACTATACCTAATACCTAGTTTACATTCACTATGTCCATTTAATATAGAACATATGCATGCATGCATGATTTTTAGCTATGCATGATTTTAAAAATTTGCTACCATTATATTTTGATAGTTGAGTTTTTGAAATTATTTGTTAGCTTCTTAAACAAAACAGACTCATAATAATTCAAATCTTTATCATCCAACCCTTCCAAGAATTATAAAGTAATCTCACGTCAAAATTTTTTAAAATTATTGCATGCCTTAAATGTTTGCAAAGTTAACAAAAATATGTCTTTGATTACCTGCAATTAATATATTTGGTCAAATTTATCAGTTCTGCATCATATCCGAAATTCAGATTGTGTGTGACACAACGAAGAGTCAACGTGCAACGTGAACGATAAGAAAATGGCAAGTAAAAAAATTTGTAAAGTCTTAATTACTAATTACACAGTCGTTCTCTTGAGTTCTCCTGCCTAAAATCTATATTGCCTTCCCTAAGATTTTAAATATAAATGCTACTTAACTTAATATGACTATATTAACAATACTTAAATCAAAATTTATTTGAAGGAATGCTACTGTATTACAATAATAAAATTGTAAAACAAGTACGTAATAATAACTCGGAATAATTATTAAAAACTGCTCATCTTGTTATAGATGTCGGCGTCTTGTCTCTATTATTTTATTAGCCGTTTAGCTATAGTTTGATTTCAGATAATGCAGAGTTTAATGTGCCATTTGTGTTTTTTATCGGAATTATTATTTTTAGCATATTTGGTATACTCTATGAAGTTATTTTTAAGTGCTCCTGTCCATTTTTCAATTATTAAAGTGCCTTTAGATACAATTAAAATTAATTAATTGGTGTATAGTATTTGTATTATGGGTTTGTTTATTTTTTATGAAATGAATTTTTTTCCTATTAAAATAAACATAGCTTACTAAATCACTAGCTAGCCATTTTTAAATACAGGATGTTAATTAAGTATCTGGCTAAACTTCAGGAGGCGATTCTTTGAGTGTTTTTAAGGTAAAAAGTTCATATAAACATGTGTCCGGAAATGCATAATTTTAAAGATACAGGGGTGTCAAGGTGTTTTCTAATAGACCTTTTTTATTAATATCTCAAAGATCCGTTAGCCGATTTTGTTGAAATTTCGCCGTGTTGTGAAATTTAATAAGTTAGCACTAACTAAATGATAATTATTATTTACAACAATATTTATACGATAAAAACTTATCCCAATAAATATTTGGCACCGCCTTGAATTCATTTGTTTTACGTTGGCGGTGGAAACCATGCAAGCTTTTTCTTTGTCCTAAGTTGTTAATTAAAAAAATAATTATCATATAAAAAAATATAGGTCCTAATAGCCTAAATTTTATCAAAATATATCAGCAGATCCGATGAGAACCGAATTATTATATGTTTTGGAACTTAATGATTTAATTAATTATTCCCTTTAATGCATCGATTGTGCGCATTATCCTACGCGCCAAGAAAAAATATTGCATTAGTCTAAATTTATTATTTATGTTAGGTATTCCGCTCTTTCACGTATAATTTGCCCCCTGCTTCTCATACGGAAAGACTTAAATTATAAAATAGCCCAACTGTACTTAACAACCCATGTCTTGACGCATATTCTTTTTTATAATAATATCGGCTTTCCCAGACTAAATATCCATATCCATAAAATAGTTGGCCCACACTAATAAGACCTCATTTCGGCCTTCGGACGGCCTTGCTCTATTCAGCTATCGAGTTACGTGTTGACAAGTTGATTAGGCAGGTTATTGAACTCCATGTCGCCTCTAGCATGTCGTTTTTTCAAAGATGGGTCCCATATAAACGCGGCCAGAAGTATTTTCAATACTAAAAATTACCTAATTAATGAAGCAAATGCTGAAAATGTTGCCCGCCAACCTCCATACAGTAATACAAATTATTTTCAAACCGTTCTCGAACATTCTGAAGAACTTGCGAGGTCACTTCGCGACAAACATCAATAATTCGTCTTCGCAGGTCTTCTAATGAGGCGGGTGGAGTGCTATACACTTTACTTTTTATGTGTCCCCATAGAAAAAAGTCTAAAGGAGTCAAGTCGGGTGACCGGGGAGGCCACTCGACTGGGATTACTAATGTGGAGGCGCACCGTCTTGTTGAAATATTAGTTCCGCTTCAACGTATCCAGGATTGTTCTCTATGATGTCAGTTAGGGCTGGGTCGATGGTATTTTCCAGTAAATCCAAGTACATATCACCTGTTAGATTTCCAGGAAGAAAAAAATGACCCACAATAGAATTTCAAAAAATACCAGCCCACACGTTCAATTTCTGAGGGTTTTGGGTGTGCACCTCGTGAAAAACCCTGGGGTTGTCCTGAGCCCAGTATCGACAGTTCTTCCGAAAAACAGACATCCGAAAAACACATATTAAATAGGATATTATTATCATTCGCCACTCATAGTTTCACAAAATTGCAAACGACGATCAAAATCGTCTTCGTTGAGTTCTTGTACCAACTGAATTTTGTACGGGTGGAACTTGTGTTTTTTTAATATCCTTTGGACACTTGTACGATTCGCGCCCGTCTCATTGGCTAATTTTCTTGTACTCAGCGTACTATCCATCATGGCAACTTCGCCCAAAACGAATACCTCCATAGCTTCATTTACTACAGCATTTTCCCTGCGCCTCTTTTTATTCATAACGGAACCAGTTTCGCGAAATTTTGCTATCAACTCGCGAACAATTTTGCCATAAAGGTGTTTGTCAGAATGGCGTTCATTGAATATCTGCGCAACCCGATTGCGACATTCATTATTTTTAAAATAAAGTTCGATTATTTCCACTCTTTCTGCAAGTGAGTATACCATAATTGTTAAAAAGTTTAACGATATTGAAAAGAACTTCAACCGCTTCAACGCACAAGTCACAGATCAGCTATCTAGCAACTACCGCACCTGATCGTTCAACCTTCTGGCAAGGGAAAAAATGCGTAAACATCTAGAAATAAAAAGAAAAAACTGCAAATTGGTCGAAGGAATTTATCCTTATCGTTACTCTGATAAATGTTTAAATAAAATTTTCAAATTTGAATCCTTCATATTTTCAAAATGACTCGACCGATCTTTAAAAACAAAGCGGGAAAATATAGAGAATAGAAAGCCCTTTTCATTGCGGCACAAATTGACCCCCCTTCCCATTTGAAAAAAATTGGGTGATGACACCTCCGCTTAGAGGGTTGAAGATTTTGCAATCATTTTTGGGGCGAAAGTTGTCCCTCTCACAAACAAAATTGACGTGTTTTTGAATTTTCTGAAAAGAAAAATTACCCTGGCCGTTATGCCTTGTGGAACGTTTCCGATGGGTCACTCTGTGTAATAAAAAAATTATGATAGTTGACTGAAGACATCATAAGATTAATTTAATACTATTTAAAATGAAACAACTTACCTTAATTTCAGTTGTTGGTTCACTATTTTCGATATTTTCATCCACAGGGGCTGAGAAAACATTTTTACTCCCCCAAATTAACGCTAACAGTAGCAAAGTGTGTATGCTCCACATGATTTTACCTGTGACTATTCTATAAACATGTGTTTCTCAGCTTATATATACCTAATCTTATTCTTACATAGAAAAAATAAATCACAAATATTACAAAAGGTCATTAAAAACGTAAAGTACCTATGTTCAATTAAATAAACTGGATTTACATGATTTGTTATTATTTATAGCAATGCAGTTATTCATTGGTGTTTTTTAATTTAAGATTTCCCAGTAGTTTTTTTCTTTCTGTGCAAGATTTAATAAGCATTTGACGTAACCGTTTGCAATTTTCATAAGAAATCGTTAAAGATTTATTTTTAATATACTTTTTCAAATAATTAGTAAACCATATTTAGAGACATGATATTTTAAGTCTTATATTAATCCCCCAAAGGTTTTTAGAGCAACACTACCTAGAAGAAATCTTCGTCAACTGGACTGGACCAACAAAGGATTAAAAATAGATGGAGAATATCTTTAGTATCAAGATTCGCTGACGACAAGCACAAAATAATGAACAAAATACAGCCAGCAATCAAGTGGGTCAAAAAATCAATTTTGTAAAAACTAAAGTAATGTACAACGAACTAGTGGAAAGAAAAGACATTCTAATAAATAACACAACTCAGGAAATAGTAGAATATAGAAGAATATCTATACAGGGTGTCATTGAAATGGTGTAAAAAATTCACAGTCCTTTACAAAGATGCAACCAGGGGGGCATTGAAAATGATGAATAAAAACGTAAAAATATGATTAGTGTTAATATGAGTGTATTACATACACATGTTTAAATAACGAACGTTATGGATGAATGTTAAATAACGAAGTTTATGGCGGTCTTCTGTGACGGCTTTTTATGTCTTAATAATTATATATAGGGTGTTTTAGAACTCGAACCAAAGTTGAAATTTTGCAAAATCTCTCGAAAATAATAAATAGTAAAATGACATTTACCCTCTATGGATAGAACCCTACCTATGGTCCCATATAAACTGTATACTAAAATAAATAGCTTTGACATATAATTGTCGTTTTTCTTGATATACTCCCCTGATTTTATTTTATTTTTCCAGAGCACTAATACTCTCTTTATGTTATTTTTTATTCCTAGAAGGATGATTTGAAGAAGAAATATTTCGTTCATATTATTGATGTCACTAAATAAACCCTTGTATAATATGTTATACTTCTAGATGTTATAGTAATGCATTTTCGTACAGCAAACTTTCATTCCCTATTCTACTCCCTAAGGGTATGAATTTCATAAATTCCTATGTCCAAATAATTAACTCATGTCTTTTAAATGATCCTTTGTGCAATTTTTATGTGTATAATCCAGAGGTCACGAAGGTTTATATAATTTTTTACTAACTTTATCCATTTGGTTGATGAATTTCAAAAATCTCTTCTTATTCTTCTTTCTGTAGAATTTCATTCTTCTAGTAAATGATTTTCATACAACAAATCGTTCGACATAATTTTACACTCTAAGAGGATAAATTTTCTAAAATCGCTTTGCATAACTAATTCACTAATCACTAATGTCCTGTAAACGAACCTTTGTGCTAATATTGATATATCTAAAGCTAGTGGTATGAACTGACCCCTAAAATATCTAAAAACTTGGTATATAATCTCTATAATCTAACTGACACACCATTGACAATGACAAATAATTGATTTCTGGAGGTATTTTGTGTAGGTGTTTTTCAGGTATGTTTTAATATTTATTCGTTTTACATAAAGAAATACCGATTAAACGATATAATAATACTTCATAACAAATCTAGACATATATACCTTTCATTTAAAAAAAGAATCATCAAGATTGGTGAGGCGGTTTCGGCGGGATGGATGTAACAAAAAAACCCTTTGAGCTTTTATATATGTATCCCACTTCGGTGTCACAAGCTGAATTTTTCAGGCAAGGAAGTACAAGTACGTGATATGGGGACCCTTATTCCAAAAGTAGTACAAAATTATACCGGGTAAAAGGACACTATCATCAAAAATCGATATATTAATACCACCGTATAGAGAAAACAAATACTTATTTTTTGATCCAGTACACAATAAAGTCTTTGTAGGGAGTAATTATTTATAATTATTTACAGAAAAACATTTCCATTAGCGCTTATGACCAAAAAAAACTTTAAACATGAATAACTCATTTCAATCATGCGAAAATTTGGTTTAAAAATAGACTTTTTTTAATATAACTTTCATTTAACGAAAAACGAAGGCCTAAATGAAAAAAAGAAACAATTTAAAAGTTTCGCTTATGTCTTGACAAGGTATCAAAGCAAACCCCATATTTTTTGCTTTCAAACTAATAAAGATATATCAATAAACAATTAGCGATGTAATGGTTTTGCGCGCGCTTGCCGACTGCCGCCGTTGCCGTTGCGCCGAGATTTCCTATACCCTTGTATATATGACGTCATGGTGTGGCAAATGTAGCATTTTAATTCGATTTGGGCTCCCTTATATAGGATAACAGAAACATTTTCAATGTTAAAAATCAGGGGGTGATAGTACTCCTAAAAATAGTAAAAAAAAGTTCCTATAAGTATAGGGCAGAAAATGCATATTAAGGGAGTTAGGGGCACTGAAAGGGTGAATTTAAAAAACGGTTGTTTTGAAATTGCAGGCTTAAAAAACGAGATAAAATTTCGAAAAAAAATGCCCTGCCATAAATTTTGACCCTAAATTAAATGGTGATACTGAAAAATTATTTGGAAAAGCAGAAAGGGTAGTTTTTGCAAGGGTAGGGGGTTGTTTCCTGAAAAACTTTTTTGAGGTTATTTTTTTTGCAACGTGGGTACATTTTTTGAAAACTACATACTTTTTCCTACAAAAAAGGTGCTCTTGTTGCACATCGCCCAGAGCGATGGTTTTCGAGAAAATTGAAGGCAAAGAGTTTGCTCTGATGGGTTGCTAACTGGTTAATCAACATAAACTTATGAAAGTTATGGCGCGGCGCACAGAGGGGATTTTTTCCAAATTCGTGGCCAAAATGATTTTTGTAGCATAAACTTACTATTTCTTTTCGAAACTAGTATTTACATTAAAAGTGAGTCATATTTATTAAGAAAATGTCTATTATACACTTTGATGCTATACAGGGTGACAAAAAATTGCAAAGTTCGAAACAGAGGTAGTATTAATTATTAGAAGAAAATATTCAGTAGTTTTCATCTTTAAACATGTATTTTTTGCAAATTGTTCTTATTATGTTTCGTTCTTATGTTTTTCATTTTCATTACATATAAATTTTAAGGGAGTGTACAACCCCTAAAATATGTTTTATTTTAAAAATTGGTTAATTTTGCAGAAAAATGGTTGACCACGTATTTTCTATCGCTTTTCACGAAAATTAATAGTTTTTTAAATAAAAAATATTTAAGGGGTTGTTCATCCCTTAAAATTTGGGTTTTGAAAAATACCCTACTTATTGAACCTCTACACCTAACAATTTATACGTAAGCCAAAATTCAGCTTTTTACTCCCATTGGTTTCAGCTTGATGAAAAGGGGGTTGTATTCACCCCCTATGGGACAATCGTTGTGGAAAAAAATATCTTCGTATGTCAAAAACAAAAATAAAAATACGTGTTCAAGCATTTTGTCGCGAAACCAGTGGATTCTTATATAAAAAACATTTCAATATTGAAAGGGTAGTTACAACCCCTTTAAATTCAAGTTTTATAAAATTCTTTTTTATTGCTCGCCTACTTTGTATAAGAAACCTTTGTGCAAAATTTCGAGTCTCTAGACCCAGAGGTTTAAGCTGTGCATTGATATGTGCCTATATCCGTCACTTACAGTCACTTTCACAGACATTTTTTTAAGTGTCCGTTAACTAAAGGACAATTAAATTTAAAGGTGCCATTTATTTGACGTGACATACAGGTCATCAATCAGTGTTAAAATGGCACTTAAAAGACCCTTAACCTAACGGTCTCTTAAAAAAAATGTTGATGCAAGTGGCTGTTAGTGAGAGTTTATTCTATTATACATATAAGTAGATTTCACATTACGTTTAGAGCCAAAAATCTGTTATTTTGAACAGATTAGCAAAAACTAGCAGTCACTTTTAACACAGTTAATAAGATTAAGCATTGATAAATAAGATAGTGAAAAGCATTGACCTTAATACGCATTAATAGGGTACCAAATGCTTAACCGAATGAACGCTTAATTTTTTCTTTTTTCATTTTGAACAATAGAAAACAAAACCAATAAAAGTTTATATATGCATTTTTAAAATACTACTAAGTAAAATATTATATTACTCTACATACATGAAGGTACACAATCCATGTTTCACTTTTCGCAAAAAAATATTGGAAACACAATAAAACCAAAGGTCATTAGTAACGAAAATTTAAGTAATGACAGCCAGCATAACATTTTGTCTTGCCAAAGCTAACTTTGGATCAACGTAACTAGAGAATACGGTAAAAATTTATAATAATTTTTTTAGCTCAATAGATAGATATGTTGCCTGTCGTTTCAAATATTAATTATGAGAATATTGCTCATTTCAGAATTTTGAATTTTGACCACGAATTTGGAAAAAATCCCCTCTGTGCGGCGGTTCAAAAGTAATCAAGTAGTTATCAAATAATTAATTGAAAAATCAACATTTCATTTTTAAAACATCTTATTGCTTTAAAAAACGAAATAATCCACTAGATTTCTACTTCTGGGCCACTTGAAAGCTTTGGTTTACTCAGTGCCGATTAATACTGAAGAGCAACTACGGTAACGCATTATTGACTGTTCCAATCAAATTTAGACAACACCTGAAGCTTGAAGCTTGAAGCTCTATCAAAGAAACTAAGCGATGCCTGTTTTGCGCTAAGATCAGTTTCTAAGGTACTTAACTTCTCAACCTCTAGAATAGCCTATTATGCCCTTTTTGAGTCACATCTTCGTTATGCCCTTCCATTCTGGGTTGCTTCCATTCTGAGTTGCAGTTCAAACGCTGCGCAACAAAATTTGATCGTGTTTTCAGACTTCAAAAGAGAGCAGTTCGATATTTATTGGGACTGA